TGTGCTACTTTGATGAGAGCTACCCCGCATATGTGCACATAATCCCAGTCCTAGCCCATAATGTAGACATAGCCTTAGTGTCAAATGTGATGTGGGAACTGGGCAAACACCACCTTTCATATGGGCCAAAGACAGTCTCTAGGAACCCGGGCAAGGTGTAAACAAGCACTAAGTCATCTAAGAATTTCTATTTCATCAGTGACTGACTCAACCAAAAAGGCGAGGTGAATAAAATTAATTTTAATGATCATTAATTTTTGTTGCTTAAGCTTTTAATATTAAACGTTTACCATGAAAAATGCATCAACAGTTATACGGCTAAACAAATGCCTGAAAATCTGTAACAGGTCAGCTTCTGCTCTGACTGGATTCTTTTTAGGATGCCTGTCAGGAGCCACTTGACATAAATCACACTGCAAGCATTTTTTAATCTTAGCAATCCTTCTTGTGCCAAAGGAGGCCCCAAAGCTGCAAACCAGCTAGCTGTGACAGAACTAGACCTTTCGAGAGAACACATGGAAGTGGGAGTTGAGTGCATTGCTCACCAAACCAGGCATATTCAGAAACACAATGAAGCTTTGATAAGTGTAAGCCTGCTACAGGAGTATATCAGACCTGCTAAGCAGATGGAGACCCTGTACTTAGAGACATCGGGCGGAGCTCTCCTGCTCCACATACCCCCATCCCATCTGAAGTGCAGCAGTTCTGCATTGCATTTTGATGTTGTGTCACATTGTCCCAAAGGAGGGGGTTACAACTGTCACTTGTTACCTTACAAAACCAATTGGTGAGAGAGCCTATACAATTATTAGTGTCCCTTCCTCAATACACACTTGGCAGGTGTGTCCATTTCCATTGCACCAAAAGTAAACTACAATAGGAAGTTGGCTTGGTAAAACTTCGGGCTCAATCATGGGCCCCGCTCTGCATCCATGCAGGTGAGCTTGGGGTTTGAGATACCCCCTTCCGTTTCTGTGTTGGCTATCAGCGTTGGAGTCACAACAGCAGCCACCCGGGGTCCCCTACTCCCCCTCTCATACACATCATGGTGGTCATCCCAGTGTGGAGTGGGGAGCATGCTTCTCCAGGAAACGGACTGCCATAGCTTACTACTCCTATGGAGCCGGACTGAGTTGTGACTGAGTCACTGTCTGGTTCCTGCTATGCTGCCCCTTCATCTGGACAACTGTGGGACTAAATACAGCACTCAGGGAGAGACACTGTCAAGTAAATCGGTGGGTGTGAGCTTTCCTCCTGATTTACTGTATGGGGTATGATGAGCAGAGAGGGGCCAGCTTGCTAAAGAGGCTGCTGAAGGGACCCAGGGCTGAATAAAAAACACACGTCACTGAGGACTTCATTGCTGTAGCCAACTTGCTGCACAGCTCACAGAGGGAAACCAGTATGAGGAGATGTGATACTTTGCTCGGTAAGGGGCAGGGAATATCTGGGCACAGAACAAAAGACTCAAAGTTAAATGCAGTAGAAATCTGCCTAGGGAGTAAGTAGTAGAATTGCTCAATTGCTTGGGTTAATTTTCTGAGATCCCTACGCAAACATTTTTAGGCTGTTCACAATTTATTGAGCCTTTTTGTTCTGTGTTCGTACAGTGCCTAGTGCAATGGGCTCCCGGTCCACAACTGGGGCTCCGAAGTGCTAACATATTACTAAGTATAATAGAAGTATTATTTGTGCAAACAAATACAGATGCAATGTCTCTTAGTACATACAGTTTTAAATTCACCACCCCTTGCTTGTTATTTAAAGGGTGCCATAAGCAGGAGTGCATGGCATTTTGCAGGCAAGTAAAAATGTGACATGCTCTTTATTACATGCCCATCCTATTTGTTCCTTTTTATTCATTTTTTTGAACACATATTTATTTGACATTTATTTAATGATACTAAAAATTGAGCCAGGAAAGAGGATGAGAGTGGAGATGAGCAAAGGAAGGCTCAGAAGAGTATTTTTAGGTGGCGTTTGAAGGAAGGGGGTGAGGTTATGAGGCACAGAGGCCAGAGAGGATGTTCAGATGTGAAAGACAGCATAAAAAATAAAGGTGTGGGGCTTCTTGTGGGAGAAGACTTTAACAGGGACAAGAAGGTGAGCCAACTTAGCAGAACATAGGGTGTGCGCTGGAACATGGGGCAACATGAAATTTTGATTAAAAAACTAGAAAGATATAAAATTAACAGGGTACACATTACATGGATTAACAGTTGGCTGATTGACAGGTCTCAAAATGTAATTGTTAATGGGTTATTATAATCAAATAGATGTGCTGCCTGGTCCCACAGAGAACATAAGTATGGCTCTACTGGGTCAGACCAAAGGTCCAGCTAGCCCAATATCCTGTCTTCCGACAGTGCCCACTGCCAGGTGCCCCAGAGGGAATGAACAGAACGGGTAATCATCAAATGATCGATCCCCTGTCACTCATTCCCAGCTTCTGGCAAACAGAGGCTAGGGACGCCGTTCCTGCCCATCCTGGCTAATAACCATTGATGGACCTATCCTCCATGAATTTATCTAGTTCTTTTTTTAACCCTGTTATGGTCTTGGCCTTCACAATGTCCTCTGGCAAGGAGTTCCACAGGTTGACTGTGCGTTGTGTGAAGAAATACTTCCTTTTATTTGTTTTAAACCTGCTGCCTATTAATTTCATTTGGTGGCCCCTAGTTCTTGTGTTATGAGAAGTAGTAAACAACACTTCCTTATCGACTTTCTCTACACCAGTCATGATTTTATAGACCTTAATCATATCTCCCCTTAGCTGTCTCTTTTCCAAGCTGCAAAGTCCCAGGCTTATTAATCTCTCCTCATACAGAAGCCATTCCATAGCCCTAATCATGTTTGTTGCCCTTTTCTGAACCTTTTCCAATTCCAGTATATCTTTCTAGAGAATGGGTGACTACATCTGCACACAGTATTCAAGATGTGGGTGTATCATGGATTTATATAGAGGCAACATGATGTTTTCTGTCCTATTTTCTATCCCCTTCTTAATTATTCCCAGCATTCTGTTTGCTTTGACTGCCGCTGCACATTGAGTGGATGTTTTCAGAGAACTATCCATAATGATTCCAAGATCTCTTTCTTGAGTGGTAACAGCTAATTTAGACCCAATCATTTTATATGTCTAGTTGGGATTATGCTTTCCAATGTGCATTACTTTGCATTTATCTCCATTAAATTTAATCTGCCATTTTGTTACCCAGTCACCCAGTTTTGAGAAATCCTTTTGTAGCTCTTCGCAGTCTGCCTGGATCTTAACTATCTTTAGAAATTTTGCATCATCTGCAAATCTTGCCACCTCACTGTTTACCCCTTTTTCCAGATCATTTATGAATATGTTGAATAGGACTGGTCTTAGAACAGACCCCTGGGGGACACCACTATTTACCTCTCTCCAGTCTGAAAACTGACCTACCCTTTGTTTCCTATCTTTTATCCAGTTACCAATCCATGAGAGCACCTTCCCTCTTATTCCAGAGCAGTCCCACAGGCCCTAGACTATTTAACATTTTTACTGATGGCCTGGAAGTAAACATAAAATCATCACTGAAAGTTTGCAGATGACACAAAAGTTGGGGGATGGTTAAATAATGAAGAGGACAGGCCACTGATACGAAGTGATTTGGTTTTCTTGGTAAACTGGGCACAAGCAAACAATGCATTTTAATATGGCTAAATGTAAATGTATATCTCTAACGACAAAGAATGCTGGCCATACTTATAGGATGACGGACTCTATCCTGGGAAACAGTGACTTTGAAAAAGATTTGGGGATCATGGTGGATAACCAGCTGAATGTGAGCTCCAGAGTGATGCTGTGGCTGAAGGAGCTAATGCAATTGTTGGTTGCATAAACAGGGGAATCTCGACTAGGAGTAGAGAGGTTATTTTACCTCTGTATTTGGCACTGCTGTGACTGTTGCTGGAATACTGTGTCCAGTTCTGGTATCCACAATTCAAGAAGGATGTTGAAAAATTGGAAAGGGTTCAGAGAAGAGCCACAAGAATGATTACAGGATGAGAAAACATGCCTTGGAGTGATAGACTCCAGGAGCTCAGTCTACTTAGCACAACAAAGAGAAGGTGAAGGGGTAACTTGATAGCAGTCTATGAGTATCTACTTGAAGAACAAATATTTAATAATGGGCTCTTCAATCTAGGTACAACTTTCAGTGTCTGGAAGTTGAAGTAGACAATTTCAGACTGGAAATAAGGTGCCCAGTTTTTAACAGTGAGAGTAATTAACCATTGGAACAACTTACAAAGGGTCATTCTCCATCTCTGACAATTTTAAAGTCAAGATTGGATGTTTTTCAAAAAGATCTGTTCTAGGAATTATTTTGGGTCAGTTCTATAGTTTGTGTTACACACGACGTCAAACTAGGTGATCACGATGGTCCCTTCTGGCCTTGGGATGTATGAATCTATACAAAACAAGAATGAGACAGAGGCAAGGCAGAGATATAGAGGGATATGGTAAATACAGATCAAAGTCCTGCAATATTAGCAAATCCACCACTGAGGAGCATTCCTTATATAGTGGTAATCTATGTCTGTTCAGATGTTCCTTTAAACTCTCCTGCTCTTCCACTGTCCCCAATAATAAGACATTATCAGTCTGCTGGTGGTTCAGTGAGGCATGTTTTGCAATGGCCAGGATGCTGCACAATTGGCTTTTTAATTAAAGTCTCTGCCTTTTTCACTTTCTTCTACTCTTCAGGCCAAATTCAGCCTGGGTGAAGCCCATGGAATTACATCACAGCCCAGTCCTGTTCCCATTGATATCACTGGGGGTTTTCTACTGGCATTACTGGGAGCTGAACTGGAGCCTTAGCGAGTGCTAACACAATATGATCTAAGGATACCATTTGCACTGATCAACCCAACTCCCTGCAGGATAATACATTTCATGGAGACAGCTTCTGCCCTAGCTCTAGCTATCCCCCATGATGCGATCAATAAGGTTGTCCTTTCTGACTCCACAGGCTCAGAGATCCTGGAGAAGAATGAGGCTGAAGAGACCACCTGTGGCTGGATTCTGCTTCTTGCTTGCCTTCTCTGTGGTGGCATTTACCAGTTTTCCTCTGCTGCTTCCAAACAGCTATGGGGAGTCCGATCTCCAGTTCTTGGCACTGGCTGAGCCACATGGGAAAGTCATCCGGCCCAGGCGTCTGTGGACAAACACCACTGCCTCTGTCCCCCAGTGGGCCAGGAGCTTTGACCACAGAGAATGGGAACCCTCTCCCCCTGGCACCAATCAGGAAAGGCAATCCTCACACCATCCCCAGTCTGCCCGCAAGCCAAAGAACCAGCCAAGTATCCTGCGCCGACAAAACCACACACTGCTGAAAGCAAAGAGAAAGCATAAAGGAGAGATTAGGAAACATAACATTGTTGTGAAAAGCTCTGAAGCCAGCAGTAAATTACAGCATGAAAACATTCCCCGCAGGACCAGTGGTGAGAAGAAAAGGGAGCTTAATACTCATTTTTCTCTAAATAATACAGGGAGCAATGTTCATTTCTATAAGCTTACAGGGAAGAAGGCAGATATGAAACCACAAATGGAGGAGGCCCCTTTCTTTTCTCCTTCACTCAGCAATAAAAGGGGTTTTCAGGAAGGAAAGCCAGAGGTTGCTTTATGTCTTAAGAACCCTTTTGCAAGCCAGCCAGCTGTGGCACAGGACCGACACAAACCAGATGTGCAGGCAGCCGGCGCTGAGCCGCAGCATTCAGATTCAATTAAAGCCTTTATCTCGGAAGCAGATAGCAGGCAGCCCTTCAGAGGTGCAGCAGGCATGCAGAGACAGACAGGCAGTTACTCCCAGGAGCCTGGAGAACCAGGAGATCATTTCTGGGTGGGTGTGGCCACGCAGTTACAGACATCTGAATGGTGTATGAAGACTCCAGAAGATGCCCTTTCTGCCAAAGGGGAGGGCCACCTGAGGTTTGGTGAGAGGATCCCACCTTGGTTTACTGCAGATGATGTGCAGAAGATGAAATGGCTGGCAAATAGCAAAGTGGTGACCAAAACCAGAATTCCTGCCCATGGACAAATCCTCAGAGTCAGCCTTTTGGCCAGACAAGACACTTCCCCATCTGACCCTAAACGAGACTGTTCAGATGGGCTCTGTGGATTAATAAAGCGACCCAGTGACCTCTATGAGGTGCTAGCTTTCCACTTGGACAGAGTGTTGGGGCTGAATAGGAGTCTGCCTGCAGTGGCCCGCAAATTCAGCAGTCCCCTGCTGCCCTACAAATACACCAATGGTGCAGCGAGGCCCATCATATGGTGGGTGCCAGATATCCAGCACCTAGCTGATGCCAACAACGACCAGAACTCTTTTGCAGTGGGGTGGCTACAGTACCAGTCTCTGCTGCAGCAGCGGTGTGGCATGGTGGATTCCAGGGCAGCTCTCGGAATAGCTCCATGTTTGAGTGTCCTGCACACAGAGTGGGCCAAACTGGCACTCTTTGATTTTCTCCTACAGGTATGCTTGGTGGTGGAACAATCCCCGTCTCTCTTTTTTCTTCTCTTTAGTGTGTGTGTGTATTGGGCATAGCTATAAGGCTTGTTTCTGTTAAAGTCTTGTTTCACAAAGTTGGGGAGAGGGGAAACCTGGGAAGGTCTTCCAACTCTGGAGTGTAAAAAAAAAAGTGAGTCAAAGAAACCCAGCAGAAGTGCACATTATTACTCTCATAATTCTATGTGTATGCAGTGTTTGTTGTGGATGTGTCGGTTCCAGGGTATTAGAAAGCCCAGGTGAGCGAGGTAATATCTTATATTAGACCAACTTCCATTGATGAGAGAGGTAAGCTTTCAAGCTTATGCAAAGTTCTTCAGGTCTGGGAAACATACTCAAAGGGCCACCGCTTAATACAAGGTGGAACAGATTGTTTAGTGTAAGTAGTTAAAACGTGGTAAACAATCTGTTCCACTTTGTATTTAGCAGTGACACTCTGAGTTAGTTTCCCACACCTGAAGAAGAGCTGTGTATCTCAAATGCTTGTCTTGCTCACCAACAGAATTTGTTCCAGTAAAAGATATCACCTCACCCACCTTGTCTCTATAATTATACTTGGCATTAATAAAAGACTTTCCATAGTCAAAATGCTTTAGAAATATTAATTAACCCTCACAAAACTCCTGGGCAGCAGACAGGTAACCATTATTATTCTGATTTTATGAATGGGGAATCTAAGGCACAAAGCCAAATGACTTGCCCCAGGTCACACAGCATATCAGTGACAGAGCCAGGATTAAAACTCAAGAATGCCTGGCTTCCAGAATAGTCAAAGTAGCCTGTGCAAAGGTGTGTGTCTCCATCGAAGCTCATGGAGTCCTTCTTCAGACACTTCGCTGAACAGAACACATCACAGCACAGTGAAAGCAAATGGGAGGTTGAAAGAGAAAGCAGAACGTAGGTCCCAATTGTTTGGTTTCCAAACCCAAATTAACATCTGAAATGAAAACTCACTGATTTTGTTTGTTTTCAAGGTAGGAAACAGTGTTTTTTTCCATGCAGATTTGTGGTTAAAATAGATCCTGGACGAATGTGCAAAAGTTTTTTTTAAATAGTCCTTTTCATATTCAAGTGGCATTCTCCAATTAGGATGATTTTGTAGTCTGTGTTATAGTAGGTTTATGAGGTCATAACCACTGTACCACTACCCCATGGCTGTGAGTCATTTTGAATCAGATTAGTGGAGTTCACAACACCATTTGATAATCAACCTGTGACACAGGGCTCAGTCCTGCAATCCTTACTCAGTCAAATCATCCTATGCACTGAAATGACACTACTTACCTGAGGAAAGGTTGCCTGACTGAGCCTTGAAGAGCAAAGGCGGGGGTGAGGGAGAGGGAGGCAGGCTGGATACTGGGGCCAGAGCTCTTGCTGGAATAAATCAGTGTAGATTCATTGACATGAAAGGTGCTGTGGTGACTTACACCACAAGTGTAGTTCACCATCTGTAAGCACTGTTACCATAAGACTTCACTCAGCCTCAGGACAACCCCGTATTCCTAGCAGGAACACAGAATGCCTGCAGTCTGGACTCATTCATGTTTTCCTTAGCTTTTCAGTTTGTCATGATCATCTAACCTTATTTGAATTCTCAAACTGCAGATAAAGAACAGAAAGCCTGGATCATCAATCAGTAGAACTTTGTACAAGGATTTCTCACACAGATGACTGATTCAGTCAGAAGCCTGAAACTGACACCAAACCAGGGGAATTCTGCCTTTAGCAGGGATATGCTGGATTGCTGCCTTATTACCAGGGGAGCTGTCGCTATCATTTGTTTTAATTTTTCAGGTTTCAGAGTGTCTGGGACTTGACACTGGAAAAGACTGAAACCGTACACAGTAGCTTTCCATTCCGAACAAACCTTCAGTGTCACAGTTGCTGGATCAAGTGTGGCAAGCTTCTTAAACCACCAGCCCCAGTCTGTTTGCAGAATGAACTACCCTTCAAGTAGAGAATTGTGCAGCAAAGCAAGGAGCTTCATCTACTTTTGCTGGGTCTTTGCCACTCGTTTCCTGGTTAGCATTACGCCAACCAAGTCAAACAGTGATGCCTGAAGTACTCCAGGCTTCCTCAAAAATGTTGGCATGGGGTTATGGGCAGAGGATTAGGGTTCCTAGAAAAGGAGATGTCAAGAACTCTTTGACTTACCAGTGGGCAAAAGCAGCCTAGTAGAAGCATCTTGTGAGAAACAGCAACTTGTAATTACAAAATACACACTTGTCCCTCGAACATTAACCCCATTCTGTCCTGGCAAAGCTGTACGTTTGCTATTACGTACAGTATTGTCCTAGCTCTGCAAGCTTTTGGTCCTCAGGACCTCCTGATCCTGAGAGTGGCTGACTTCAGTGGGAGTTGGGGACACTCAGCATCTCTCATGGTTGGCTACCAGAGAAGCTTGAGTAACTCCGGATCCTTTGATACACATTTTATAAGGCAATTATTGGTTATTGGTAAAAGAGAACATTGCTTAGTAAAACATATTGGTTGAATGTCAGTGAGTGTGTGTAATACGTGCCATTCATTATGTTTAGGAAATATGTTGAATAATCTCCCACTATTTAAAGAGTTATAACAAAAAGTATTGGACATACATTCTCAAAAGTCATTCCCACCATATGGCTGTTCAGTGATCTATTGTTTGGGCAAGGTGGAGTTGGAGATCGCAGTCCAGTTCCTGGTGGACCAGTGTCCACAATACAAAAATTCTTATCACAAATAATGGGAACCCTTGTTAACAGGCTCAGCAGCGAGACAGATGACTGAATGTGTAGCGAGGGCGAATTACCCCTTTGATCTAGAGGATGTCCAAATATAGGTCAAAGTTTAGATATACTGCAGTGGGTGGAAGTGTGCACCTCATCTACCCAGGCTGTCTCTGTTGTGTCAATAAATAGCAGGCTCCAGGCTCCAGAGCTGTCAATTTGCGACCTATCATTAGGACTAAAAGAAGAAGAAAAAATATGCATTATGCTAAAGGGAGTCTTGACTATTGTCACTCGCACTGAGGTATTCCACACAGTGAGAAGCATTTCTTCCCCCGCATGGCCTCCTCTCTAGGAATCCAACAAAACTAAAGCAGTGATACCCTTAGAAATACCTCATTGAAAAGACTTTCTATTTTGATTCAAAGAAGAGAGATGGGGACCTGACTCTCCATTGCCCTGCAGCTTGTGTCATCACTTACATCAGTGCGGCTCATTACCATTCAGATGTAGCAGCATTCTGCACCCACTTTGTCCAGGTGGAAATGACTACAGGAAATGCAGAGCAACAGGGAATCTGGCCCAAGGCCGTTTATGTTTTAGACCTGCCATTAGGCTGTATCACTCAAAGAGACCTACCAAGGATATTTTAAAAACTCAGCTTGTGCCCCTCTTTTAATCTTTGTGCTGTATAAAGAATGCTGGAAAGGTGGGGATTTTATCTCCTGTTCAGCCTTTATCCTCTGGGCTCCTCTGATGTCACCACTTCATTCGCCCTTGTAGTGTCTTCCAGCCGAGACAGGACCTGATTTTCTAATTTGAAAACCCCCCCAACCAACCAAATATGACACAAGCACATTTTCAAACACCAAAAGCCCTTCCAACCTGCTTTATGTATCAGAGAGACACACAAAAAGGCCTTTTTTTGTCATTTACAACACACATTTAAACAAAAATGTCTTTACTTTCACAAATCACTGTTGGAGTAGCTGTCAATCTTCAGTAAGCGTGTTTAATAATCAATGTGTGTGGAAGGGAGAGACGGCTGGTTTATCACCTCTCAACATGCTGTGCAGTTGGAAGCTCAGGGTAAAAGTTGTGCTTTTGTATAATTTGTGCATGCTGGACTTGAAGGGGAACATGGATCCACAGGCAAGCTTCAGACACATCTGACCTGATTCTGATCTCACTTATTCTAGTTTTATCCTGGTGTAACCTCACTAGTTTGGGTGGAGTTACTCCTGATTCACACTGGTGTGAGGTCATGCTCATTTAAAAGAATCTTATGTCAGTCTCATGTTATCCAGACTCTTTTGTTCCTGGGTGTCTTTTTGTTGCTGAAAATCAGCTTTTGTTCCCTCCAACCAGGATCCTTTTCCCATCATGGAGATTTTCCTTCTCTTCTGTGTGTGGATTAAGAGTGCTTAATCTTACATCTGGAAAATCAGAACTTGCTGCTATGGGGGATTATTACAGTTTCTCTGAACAGAGAATTGTGAGTTTAATTAGGGGCAACTGAGAGAAAGAAGAGATGGTTTATATGGGAGATGGAGCCTTGTTTATACACCTCAGGGGTATTACTTACCACTGCAGGGACAAGCATTAGCGAGAAAAAACTATCTGAAAGGTTTTAAAAAATCTCTGCTAAAATATGTGTTCCCATTACTTTTTTTTTTTTTTGGCAGAGCTTAACTATTAATCTTAATAACCTCAAAGTATGGCTGGCAGAAGGGGTCAATCACAACTAGATGTAACAAATCCAGTCATGACTGGAGTATGTTACATTAAAACGATTAACATTCATATTTAAAGCTAATCTAGCAGGAAATAAAATAAGTGTTTAAAGAGCAGAAATGGAAATTCTGGGATCGGGTTTTTTGGGTGTGACTGTTACTTTAGAACTTACTAATAAACACATCCGGGTTTGAGTTAGTGGCGTTATGGGGTGAAATCCTGGCCCGAATGAAATCAACGGGAAAATTCTCTTGACTTCAGTGGGACCAGGACGTCACCCTTTTTACTTAAAAACCGTATCGTCAAATCCTCACCTGGTGTAAATCAGCATAGAAGTCAGTGGAGCTACACTGATTTACACCATTTTTCCATTCTGTGCCCCCCTCATTCCAGTACCACCACTTCCCATCTCCCGGCCACGAGCATATCCTTGTGTGATGTCAGGCCTCGATAGTGAGGGTTATTTGGTCCCCTACCCCCCGCCAGGAAAAAGCTGTCCAGCATGGATTCCTTCTTTGCTCTTTG